TTTTTTTTTTAGCATTTTTTCCTGTAGTTCTTTTCTGAGAACCTTCCCTGCTGGCTTCCCCATTTACTTTGCTTGTCATAAATCGACAAATGGTTGTAAATCGAGGACTACCTGTATTAATCTTTAAAATTCTCTGTATCAAAGTATTTATTTGAATCCAATTTTTTTTAGCTTTTTTACGTGTCCACCAAGCATGATAAAATGCCCCTTCATGTTGTTCACATTTCCAACATACATTTGAAGTACCTTTATACATTCTAGATAATTTGTCTGGTGTCATATACCACAGAATTCCAAATTTCTTAACACAGGAGGGAGAATCTTAGTACTTAGTATTCAGTGCAGGATTTTTGCTCTGATAATCTGCCTTAAGAGTTTCCTAAAATTAGCTGCTTATTTTTTCCCGTTAGGTTCCTGCAAAAGTTAAGGGGAAACCTGGAAAAATTAGACCTCTTAAATGACTAGTAGAAAGCAGCGGTGTTGATAATAGTTCTGAGACGTTGTGATTGGGGAAATCAGGGAGAGAGATAAAAAAAAAATCAGGATAGTGATTGCAGTTGCATAGCTGAAGCCCCACCCCTTTTTGTATGCCACATGACAGACATAAAAAGGGTCAGGCTTCAATTGTGCAGTTGTAGCCGTCATCTTGATTTTTTTTTTTTACCACCTCACTGTGGACACCCCTGGTTGTGATACTCATACTGGAGGGTGTGCCTGAACAAGTAAGACCACACCTTCTTCATTTTGTGCAGGAAGATTTGCAACAGTAGGGATGATACAGTAATGGAATCCCTGCCTTCTTTAAGTTTGCTTCTGATACCAGATTCACACATCACATGAAGTTATAAGGTGGTTTGATGGTTTGGGCTTGAACAAATAAATGGTCAAACCTGTAGATATACTGGGGCTACAACTCCTAGGACTTCCAGTGATGATATTGTGTTGACTGGGAATTCTGGGAGATGCAGTTGCAACCCGTCTTGAAGTTGTCCAGTAGGGAAGACTAGACTGCTACTTCTTTGGCTGAGTAACAATACAATTTTCTGATTCTGAAGAGGCATTTTTTTTTTGATGAAGCAAGCCATTGGCTGTCCTGAATGGGGATGATGAGTTTTGATCCTGTTGCTGATCTTTTCTTCAAGGTATTTTTAGTCTTACATATTTAGAAACTCACCTACTGTGGGCCAGATGTGTCTCCCCATAAGTCTTCTCTTGTCCGATCAGTGCGTATTTGCTGGAATCTTACGGGTTGTGTGAGCTGGTCCAAAGAAAGTTGTATTCCACTGGCAAGCTTTCTGTGTTTTCCCACTTCAGCTGCTTCTGTTGCACCTTTCACTTCTATTTAAAAAATTCCATTACTAAGGAGAAGACAAAATAGCTGCTGCTATTTTTGGTTGTTAATGCTAGGAGGGTTTTGTTTGTAAGCACCTTTAAAGCAAGGTAAAACATTCAGCAAATAATTGTATGGGGTACACATAAGTGCCCCATATAATAGCCAGAGTAACCCAGAATATGGGTTATTCCGCAGAGCAAATCTAGAGAGGTTCCTCTGGTGAAGAGCTATCTTTTTTTTGGATTTTTAAAAAATACCTAACATTTTCCTGTTCTGTACAGAAGGTGAATCCTGAAATCTGATTTTCCCCCTTCTCTTAATGAGGAAGAATATAGTATCTTGAAAGTGTGACAAAATATTAATTAATTTTAAAAGGGTTGAAAACTTGAAAAGATATCTTTTGCTTACCCCATAAAAATATCACGGTGATTTCTTTGTGCATATCATTAAGACCTTCAAGAATTTATTTGGGGGAGAGAATAACAGTATAGTTGTGATGTGTAGGTGTGCACAATTTAATTTTACTTGCTTTCTGCTAATGCTTCTCTGCCCAGAATAATTAGTGAAGCACAGGTTTTGTGTGTCCTACATCCTACCCAACCTAACAGGGTATTGCATATCATATTATGTTGGGAAAACAGGGAATAAACATTTATGTTTGTATTGGGGGAGTGTTTTCTCTCGCTGTTCTGCATAAACCACAATGTGGTACTTAATCTTGGAAATCGAGAGGCACACAGTGTTTCTTTTGGTAGAAATTTGGGTAGTTTTCCTACCAGGATGAAAAATAGCAAAATAGGCTGTTCTTTGCTCCCTGACACAAGTCACAAAGCAAATAAGCAGAGGCTCAGAACAGGGATGTACGCATGGAAGAAAGATGGATTTTTTTCGTTAACTCTCTGACTGATTTGCTAAATATTATCTAGATGTCATAACACTATATATTTGTTAAATACAAAATTGCTACAGTCAGCCATTTTGTTGTCAAATAAGAATGTTCCTGTTCTCTTGGTACCTTTCAGTAAAATAAAGATCTGATTAGATATCACATTTTCAGCTGTCAGTCTCAACCAGTAGATGGCTTGTTCTGAAAATTTCCTTCCTTCCTTCCTTCCTTCCTTCCTTCCTTCCT